GTGGTGGTACCGCGGTGGTGGTGGTACCGCGGTGGGAGCGGTACCGCGGTGGGAGCCCCGGTGAGTACCAGTGTGTCCCGGCAGGGCCGAGGGGTAGCGGGTCGGGCGGTTTTTCGGGCCATTGTCTCCGTGGGCTGCGGCTGGCCCGGGGCCGCGCGAGCGGCGAAGCGGCGAAGCCAGAGCTCAGCCAGAAGCGGGCGGTGGGGTAATGCAGTGGTCAGGGAATTTCCTGAGCTGCCTTTAATTACTTCAGGCTTTCTTCGAAACCTGTAGAGGATTATCTTCTGTCCGAAGCGACCCGCTCTAACGGCCTGTGCTCAAGTCAGGCTGTGTGGGGAGCAGGAGCTTTATCTAATATAGAATGACAGACGGTGTTTGTCCCCCAGCACGGTTATTTTCAGCTTTGGGGACGGTGGTGTTGTGGATACCGGAGGGGCGGTTAACGGAGCATTGTGGAGCGGTCAGCGAGACGTTGAGCGCTCGCTAACTCCCGTTCGTAGCAAGTCAAACCGCCCCAATGCAGCTCAGCAATATACTGTGCAGCAGACGAAAACCACACCGGATAGAGAAGACCACTGTCAAAGTTTAGAGGCTCAGTGACCACCATGGGTGCCTAAAGATCCTCCAAGAGCACCGTCTGAGACTAACTGTGCAGACTGAGCCATTCCCTTTTCTATCCAGTGCTGCAATAAAGTATTGCTTGCTTCTTAATACTACCTTGGTGTTAAAAGAAGGAGTTTTATCCCCGATTTTGGGTGACAACAACACAATGCCTACCATGTTCTTTTCTGTAGCTAAAACTAGTTGGACTTTTTTCTCTTGCACCCTTCCAGAACCTCAGAGCTGGCCACCCTCTGCATTCTGAGGATGACCTTGGGATCTGCTTTTTTTGCCCTCATCCAATGTAATAGACTTTAATTGAAATCTTGTGTACACTTGGACTATTGTATTCTTAACTTGCATGAACACGTGCTTTAATTCCAGCTTAAACCTCCTGCAGCACTTGAAGCCTGGTGAAACACTGAGATGGCAGCTCAGATGACCGATGCTCATCGACGGTTCTTGCAGGTTCTGATGTCTAATGGGATAACAGAAGGATCAGAGGCCAGGAAATTACACCAGCACTGCTGTGAAACTGATAAAGGTGTGTCTGTCCTGGTGATAAAAGAACTGGGGTTTTTTTTCCTGGTGCAGCTTACAAATAATTTGATTTCTGGAGGGCATGCACAAGCTAAAAAAAGTTAAAAAACTGTAATGATATGAGTGTTCTCTCTCTTTCCTGAAAGATAAAATAATAATGATAAAATAGTAATGAGTAAAGCAACTTCTAATCAGGCCACAGATTTGTAGTACTTTTTATCTTATCAGGGTTGTTGTTTATAGGTTATACATATAAATGACTTTAATTTTTTTTTTTTAACACTGGAAGTACTTCACTATAGTGAATGCTTTTAAGTAAATGCACTTCAGTTATTTCTCCCATGTATTGTGGGAGAAATGACTGCTGCAAAAACATTTTGGTGAGGATGAGATGAAGTTTCCTGGTGAATTGCTGTGCTTTCTTCCCACCTCACCTGCACTGGATTGTCCGTTCTGAGTCCTGGAATCTGTTCTCCTGCCAGGTTTAGGAGTGCCACGCCCTGTGCTATGCCACCATGCTACTCACTCTACAGGGACTCTTCTGTTTTTCTGTGAATTTGTACCTACTTACCCATAGCTGTAAGGTCAGAACAAAGTAGTCTATTTGTGCGTTTCTTGAGTCAGAAACTGTAACTTTACATCTTGGGTGCTAAAATTGTGAAGCACAACTTTTGATGTTCTTTAACCCCTATTAATTTTTTATTGAGAATTTTTATCCCTTTTTTTTTCTGTATACGATCTACTGGAACAGCCACTCATCTCACATTAAAATGTTATAGCTGTTGTACAAAAGAGTATTCTGTTATCTTTCATCTTTTACCCTCTTTGAAATGGGTCACTAAAGCTCCTGTGCAGTGTGCAGTGTTTCCTGCTGACAGGAGCCAAGCAGGTGGCAAAATTATGCTTGAATGTTGTACTTACTTTACTATCGTTCTTCGTGTTTGTTGGCTTTGTTCACTGAAGGAATCTTGTATATCTGAGTCAGGAACTCCTGAGCAGGAGCATCCTATGAGTGCAGTTTGGCACTGCGCTGTAGTGCCGTGGGGTTTGGGTGTGGGATCTTGACCCAATGCTGTTAGATGAGCGAGGGACTTCTGTGACTGGAAGCAGGATTAATTTCATGATAACTGACTGTATTTTTGAGACATGAATCATTTATCTAAAATTATGAGCTGTTACTTAGTTCTGGTTTTTAAACCATAGCCTGATGAAGGCAACAGGAGTGATAAAATTGACAAAATCTTGTTTTGGATGGATGTGAGAGTTGTGTGGTGCTGTGCAGGCAAGAACCATTATATGCTCTTCTACAGAATGACTGCAAAGTCCATCTTAATTGTGTCTATGATTAAACTGCTGCTAGTATTTGTTTGGTTTGTAGAATGTGACTCAAGATATTTCTTGTGTTTCTACAATGCTAGAATTTTTGGTTTTCTGATATGTAACTTGATCACTTATATGCCATTAATTTGTGAAACAGCATACAGAAACAAGAAATTCCATGTGTATAAAGGAATCCAAGTCAGTGTATTTTCCTATTGCGCATAGTATTTTTTCCCAGTCATATTTTATTTTCAGTTCAGCTTAGTTCAAGTCATTGTAATTACTGGATTAGTGTTGTGGGTTCCCTGCAACAAGACAGAATGTCTGGACTCTGTCAACTGATTTTAGAGGAGCTGAGAATTTCTGAAGGTCACGAGACAGCAGCAGAAGGAAATTATATGTCTGCTGAATAGAACAGTTTGAATTCATGTTTGAATTCTGCCTCACAGTTTCAGCACTTTTACCTGGGAAAAAGTGTTACACATAAAAAGATCTGCCTGATGTGTAGTTGTTTGACTTTTCTCTCTGTGTGTTTTTTCTCATTCATTTCCAGTTTACTACGCACATGATAAACTGGATGATTTCATCAGCACTATTAATAGCCACCTGCAGCCTTTGTTTATGCAGATCCGGAAAGGAATATCGGAAGACAATGGGAGAGCACATTATGCTGTAGTAGGTACCTCCTGTGCTGTGTTTGTGTGGGGCTAGCAGTGGATGCAGGAGGATAAACTGTCACAACTCAGGTGTGTGGGAATAGGACATTGTAGCAAGGATGAAAGCAGTGTTGGAGTTACTTAGCATAAACATTGCTTAAGTGCTGAAGTGAGATTCCTTTTCCACAGGAGACTTTCTTTCCTGAGAAAGATTTTTAAACTAGGAAACACAGAGAGCTGTCCAACATATTTTTCTTTCTTTCCCACTCAAAAACCAACCTAGCACAAAAGGATTGCTGAGGAGTGGCCTATAAGTTGTTTCCCCAGATGATCTGCAATGTGCATGTCAGAGAAGCTTTGTAATTTCAAAAGACCAGATGCATACAGGATGTATTCTAACATTAGCTGCTGCTTTTAACTTTTCCTTTTGCCAGTTAAATTGAGCTAATAATTAGTAGTAGCATGTGCAATAACAGTAGAATAGATGGGCAACTGGTTTTCACAGTGAAAAAAACGGTGACTGATAATATAGTTCCAGCTGCTGTCTAGCACCAGAACTGTCTAGCACCTGTGATGTGTCAGCTCGGCTGCAGCACTCTCTGTCAGTTCTGGGAGCTTGGATTATGGAATGGCTTTTCCTGGGCAGAGGCAGATGTAGAGAATTTGTGGCTGGAAGATGAGGGGTTGTAAAGAAAGAACTTGAATACCATCGAGTGCCCCTCAAAGAACTAACATTTATGTTAATTGTAAGATGATGTATTCTTAACCTCAAGGGTTTTTTTATAGTTTCTGGTATGAAACCACATAGGCACTTTATATCAGTTAATTTTTTATAGGTGAATTTGGCAGAAACTGAAGTAACTAAAATGGCATCTGACTATACAGAAATTGAATTGGAATTGTTCAGAAAAACAGTAAGTATGTCAGTTATCACTTAGTAAATCATATTATTTGTTAAGGTATCATCTTAAAATGAATGAAAACGGAAATGGAGATGTGGTTGAGGAAGTAGTTGCCATTTTACCTAAGTTTATCTGAGATCAAATGGGTGGGGTGGGCAGGGAGGAAAGTAAGTGCAAGTAATGATTTGCTGTTTTAAGTCAGTCATGGGTAAGGTAGATAAGCACCAGGGAAGGACTTCTTGAGGTTAGGAACTTTACATATCTTCTTTTAGTTACACAACTTTCTTCAGGATTTTCCATCAAGATTGTCAAGTTTTTCACTGGCTTCAGTAGTTTAGTAATATACAATAGTTTTTAATGCCAGTAACATACAAAATTAATTTGCTGATTTGCATATAAATGTTTATCTATGGTTATTGAGGATTTCCTCAAAAGATCTTTGACAAAGAGGAGATAAAAGTAAATGGATCTGTCACCACTGAGTTTGTCCAGGGGTCCCTGAATGCAGCTTCATTTATGCAGCGTGTATACTTTTATTTGTGGAAATGTTTTCTTGGCAAAGATCAAAACTGTCAAGGGGACAATGATTGTTTCAGCTTTTGGCCTTTGTTTTACAATTCTGGTTCAAGCCATATACTGTAGTATCTCTCATATATATGGATGACATTAGCACATTACTGTAAGGTGTGTCTGCCTAATTGCAGGGTTTCTAATACTTGGTAATGTTTCTTCCGGTAGATGGACCTAATAATTTTATCAGAAAATGGCTTCGCCTCATCTACAGATATTTTAAACTTGGCTGACCAACTTAAGACAAGGAAAATGAAGAAAAAGGAAGCAGAACAAGTGCTAAAAGTTTTTGTGGAGGATAAGTGGCTGTCTGAGGTAACTGCATTCAAATGTTCATAGTTCAATGGATCCAGTTATCATGTCCTTATGGATGTGGTAGCTGAGACTGGAGCTTTTCTTGAATGAATGAATGAATGAATGATGGCAAAAATGGTCTTATGGGGCCATGCTTATTGCTGCTTCAGTGATTTTTGCAGAAAAGGAAGTAGACTTACAAGGAAAAAGTCCATGGGTAGGTCTGTACAGGACCATATGGTTTCAGTTTCTTGTACCTGAGCCAGGTGGGTTTGTGTGTCTAGTCCTGCACAGTGACATGCAGACATCCTTTGTACACAACAGCACAGCATCCTTCAACCTGGAACAAGAGCTAGGGAAAGCTTTTCAGAGTGATCAGTGCCTTTAGTTGCATTTAGAATTTCCTGAAAAGGAGCAAGGCCAGACATGTTGAAAACTCCTGTACCAGAAATGCATGGGCCACTGTGCACATGGTTACACCTGTTCTATGAAGGAGCAGTGGAGATGAGCTCACCACGTGGACACTGCAGTTGCTTGCCAAGCAAGACTGTAATCCCTTTTCTGCTGGAGTCATTGCATCATAGATCTCCCACCTGCTGCCACACCGTCACTTACATGTTAAGTTGATTTGGCAGGTATTTCCAAAGACACATCAAGCAGGAAATGCCGAGATTTTGTTTAAAGCAAATTTTCTCTAACCTATAATGGAGGATCCCAAAACAGCATGCCTCTATTAAGGAACGCATGCTTGCTCATCTATGCTTTCTAAGGACTAGATCTCTGTTAGAGGTGTGGGATTTTTATTCTGTTCCTCTAAACAAAGGAGTTCTGCTATTTCAAAGGTGTTCTGACATTGCATTGTACCAGCATGTTGGTTTCATGATGGTTTAAAAAAGTGGCTTGTTAACAAGTGGTTAGCAAAGTCAGAAAAGGTAGAAGGAATTAACAGAAATTCCTCATTTCAACACTTGTTTCTTTAGAAAAATGGAGAATATACTCTGCATACTCGGTGCATAATTGAGATGGAACAGTACATTCTCAGCAACTACCAGGACGTGGCAAGGAAATGTAACATCTGTCACAGCCTCGCCATCCAGGTAACATGTCACCTCAGCCAATGGACTTGCATGGTCATAGCTGAGGTTTCTGATGCTTTCCTGTGGGTATAAACTTGGTCTTTTAATCTGGTCATGGTGCTCATGCTTTTTTTTTTTTTAATTTTAGGCATTTTATCTTCTGTCTTTAGAAATAAAACTGCCTTGGAGCAGTGTCTCCAAGTATAAAATTGGAAAACTGCACTCCCGCAATGAGGAACATGTTTGTGCTGTCTGGCTTTCCAAACCAGCATATTAGAGATGAACTCCTGATGCTGAAAGAGGTTTAGCAGTGAGGTGTTAGCAGTGTCCTCTCTGGGCCTTGCCAATACACATCATCACGTGACACATTCATTCTTGGTCCTGGGATTTTAATTCAGGAATTGCTTATGTTTGGACCTCAGAAGGAACATGACTGCTAGTAGAGCATGCTAAAGCACTGTGTTTTGATAGCTGGGACGTTTCCAGTTCCATCTTGCCTAAGTAGTTTCAGCTTGGATTTACCAAAACTGCTGTGTTTTCTTGCACTGTGAGCCTGCATCTTCTGATTTACCGAACTGACATGCTTCCACATTATTTTTTCCATTCCAGTCAGTCTCCTTTATTGCACTGAAATTGCTGTCTTTCAAGCTAAATGTCTATATAGGGAAACAGTATTTCCTAGTTTACAGAAAAGTACCTCCTTTTACCATTTACCAGCTTCGACTGTTGAGTGTGTCTACCACCCATATTGTGGGAACCATTCTTTGGAACAAAGTGTTGCATATTTGCTGCTCTTTATAACAACTTTCTCTTAAAATTGAAGGACAGTTTAAAAAGATTTTATGAATCAACACTCCTGATTTCAGAGCCAAGTATGTGAATCCTGTGGAATTGGAATGCACTTACCTTGTGTCAGAAAGTACTTCAGAGGCCAGACTGAACCCCGCTGTCCCAAGTGTAATGAATTCTGGTCTTGTGACACCCCAGGTACCAAGCAATGTATTTTTAAAAAAACTGAATGTAATAATACTAGGAAATGGGCTGTGATGTTCAGTGGTACTGCTGTATTATTCATAACTGTATTAGCTATTTCTGACTTCAGTGGTATGTTTCAGACACTAAACCACACACAGACAGCACTGAGCTCCCAGAGTGCCCAAAAAGTGCCACAGGGGTATAGTAGACCCCGTGTATATTTTCTTATAACAATCTTTACGAGGTGGGGGGGGAGTGGGGAAGGAATAGAAGCACACACAACCCATGAAACTAAAACTTCTGGAAATACCGAGCTTCTAGGAATCTCTTTGGAATTCCTCCATTGTCCAGGGAAATTGGACATTGTGAACAGCAACAGAGGAATATACAAAGCATTTTAGAAAAGGAGGTTATACAATATTATCTTTTTTTTGTGTGTTGTCCATTAACCTTCCTTTGGTTTTCTTTACAGGTGTGAGTCGGATGGGCTCACCACAGAGTTCCACTCTTGGTGCTAGATGATGCCAGTAAAACTTGATGTCAGTGACATCACTCTGGCAGAACAGCCAGACTTTATTGTATTCAATTAGTAACAGTGCTCAGTGTACCCATTTTCTAAAGTTCTAAGAATCTTAAAATAAAACTATTATTGACGTTCCTGTTCACAGTAATGCTTGCACAGCTTTCTTGAAAGCTGTTTTCTGTTTGTGATTCTCCATATTCTTGGGTTGGGTCTCCCAGTGCATGTTTTAGTTGGTCCTGCAAGCTGGTATATACAGCTGAACTCTTGAAAGAAGCCTTTCTCAGCAAGTGCTCCCTGTTTGTACAGGGACAGTACAAATTAAGTTGCGCAATGGAAATGACACCTGCTGTAGCATGTCAAGCAGGTGAAAAATCAGAGCAGTATGTGCAAGGCAGTTGGCTGAGTCTCTGACCTAGGGCTGGTGTTGGAACCCTTCTAATGGGTTCTGTGACTGTGTTTTGTCCATTCTATAGATGCAAAAGAATTTGTCTTAACGTAAGGCCAGGTCACAAGCAGCTGTGAGGGAATATTGCCACAGAAGGATTGGGAAGCAGTACGACTGGACTTGGAGCAATGTTAGCTTATGTCTGCAAAGTGCTGAAAAAATTACCATATTGAAATTCTTTAGGTTTTTAGTCCTGGCACTTCTAACCCCAGTTTTAAGTAAGGATGCTTTTTCCTTTAAGAGTGACTTGGAAAGGAGCTAAGGACTGGCTATTGCCCCACCCCAGACTGAAATGGCAGCGTTTTTGTCCTTGATAGAGATGTGTGATGCTGCAGAAAGGCTGCGGCAGCAGTTCAGGTGATGGTTAATAAAAGCATAATTAAACTTCAGCATAATTAAACTTCAGCATAATTAAACTTCAGGTTATCTAACTGCAATTAAACTATGGGTTAACTTCAGTTAACTGCCATGTTCTAGGCTTTAACATGATGATGTGCTTTAGGAATGGTACTCTCCAAATTAGTGTTTGCACCAAAACGCTCCAAACCATGAGATGCTTGCTCACTCTCTCCTCCCCATACTCCCCTCACAGACAAAATTGGGAGGCCCAAAAGATCAAGATCATGAGTTGCAAGAAGAACAATTTACTGGAAACAGCAAAGGAGTAAGAAAATGAGCAGTCATAGCAACAATATCAATAACAAAGTGTACAAGAGATACAAAAGATTCACACAAAAAGATTCATACATACAATCACTAAGAGACCAAGGAGCCCCTTCCTGCCCCTGGCCTGCATCGGTGGCAGGCTGAGGTGGTACAGAGGAAACTCTGTGTCTGGGCCATGCCCCTCCTGGCTGCAGAAATTAACCCTATCCTGGCCAGACCAGGACATAAGTGACTTTTTCCATGCAGGAGACTAGTACCTTGCTTGGTGTTAGCTCAATATTTTAATGAATTTAACGTTTATGTAGCACCATCTCTGTAGCTAACTCCAGGGTTTAGTGTTTCTAAATCCAAATAGAGAGAGACAGAGAGGCTCAGGCAGAGCCCTGGTAATGCCTGTACACAGGCTGTTTCTGAGGGATGCACACACAAGACCTAACACATAGTCTTTAGGAGTTATTAGAAACATACAAAAATGACATGGCTACAGCATACTCTTTCCACTTACCCATTGTGACTACTCCATGCTTTAGCAAGAGTTTGTTGGTTTTTGGTTTTACTCCACCTCTAACCTCTCCTGAGAGAGAAATGCTATTTCCCTGATTTTTAATTCCCTTTTCAGTGCAGCTGACTACATTTCAGAGCTATGACCACCAGAAACTAACGGAGAAGCTGAGCTCAAGCGATCGCACATAGTGCCAGTATTTAACTGGAATAAACAGAATCTGTCCAGGCATCAGAATGCAGGACTGAAATGCAGCCTTTTTGAAATTTGGAAATTTGACCAAGTCTGGATCTTCTACATCAACCTATAAAAAACCAAACAATCATCAGAAGACTGTCCTTACTCAAATATGATTTGATAACATTACTGATATCAAAATTTCAGGCAACTATTTACCTGACTAGTGTTGTGAAGAATTTGGCTTTCATGGGGGTACAGGTTTTCTGAATCTTGTGGTGAGTAGAGACGGATATACTTTCTTCCAAATACCTGTATATAATAAAAATTTTCCATTGACTGGCACATTACTGGAAGCTGTGGGCCATAGCTGGCATTTAACAGTACAATTACATGATTACAAGGAACATGGTTATCTTTGTTAGTAATAGATACTGCTATAATAAAAAGTTAAATCAGGCTATTGGAATTTAAGTACCTCTTCCCTTGGAGCAGATAAGAATGAAATACCTTTGGGAAGGAAATGCCTTTAACCAGATTGCTTTCAATTAAAAGTTTAAAGCACCCAGTTTATACATCATTATTTAGGCTCAAAATTAGCTAGAAATAAGAACTGAGAATAAGGAGGCTGAACCTTCATTGCAATTTATATTAACAGGCAGAGGTACTTGCAGAGTGACTACTAAGCTTCCATATACCCCTCAAACTCTTACTTCTGTGTCATCATTAAAACAGTTCCTTCATTGGAGTGCTGAAATGAGATGAGAATTTTTAAGGTGAGTGGCCTGGCTTCCCTGAACACTACATGTTCATTACATGAACTGCAAGTTTTGGTGCCAGGATGTAGCAGCATGAATGAGTCAAAGCTGACTCCTCCAATGATACCAGTGGAACAGAAGGTTTAGGGTGAAGATTCATATGGCTTGTGCTGGCATTCCAGACCACTGCAAGAGCCAGACATGATTATACTTGGGAACTGTCCTGTTATGGGTACTCTGACTAATCCCAGCACCCTTGAGTGGCTACCCAACCATTCCTAACCAACCTGCTTTTCCTTTATCTTAGCACCCACATAATAGAACAGGATTTCCTGAAATCTTACCAATATCAAAGCTGTCATACTGGCTATTTAGTTTGTTGCTTCAAGGACAGCACGTAAATGTATTCTACAGACTGGTAGATACTAAGTACTCTTGCCCTGTCCTACTCTTCAGTACCACTGAGTAAACTAGTAGAGCATTGATCTGTGTAACTGGCTGTCCATGTGTTTTTAGGATGTCTTCCATGCCCCAATGCCCAATGAGCTTAAGGATCTTAATTAGCTTACTAAAGAACCAAGTATTACATGGAATTTTTGGTGACATACGGAAGTGACAAAAATGCTGGTTATTGCTCCAACAGGACATTCTCTGAATGCACGAAATGTTTTTGGGACTGCCATCAGCTGCTAACAGCTCCTTCCTGCACTTGCCTCACTGGATTAAGGCCTTGTATATTTTAAGACTCCAGGCACCAGTTAATGAGCAATAGCCTTCATCTCCAGAGACTGCTTTTCTCATTAATGGAAAAACTACGATCTCACCACCAGCCAGCATAATTTCATTTTGTTACTTATGCTTGTGCCTTCCTGTACTTCACATCCACAGTTTAAACGGCATCACAAAGCAGGACAATTTAATTGAAAGCTGCCAGATCACCAGCTGTTCAAATTACAAAGACTCTTTCACACCACTGGCAGATAATCTCACATTTTTGAGGCAGAAGAAAACAAGTTCTGAGGTTAGTAAGGAAAGCATCTTTTCCCAGTCCAACAACTCCTGTACATTTTTCTTCCACAAAAAAAATTCCCCTCAAAGTTTACACAGCATGAATAGTTCAGTACTTCACTTTCAGAATGCAGCTGTATGTGTGTGCCAAGCAGGTAGCATGCAAAAGAAATACAATCCATACAGAGCTGCACAGCAGTTTAAAAAAAAAACCATCATAGGAAGGCCTGAATTAAGCCTAAGTTTCCAGTGAAAACACAGATTAGCAAGATGCAACTGGGACAGAGAAACTAAAGCTCAACCCATAAATAACCATCAGTAGAAAGTAATGTCACAGTCCTGCTGGAAAACTGTGTAAGCCTGTTAATTTTTTTTTTTAAGAGTCTGAAGGACAGTTATCTCCTTCAGTTAACACCTCTCAGTGTTTGAAGATCCACAGTAGTCAACTTGGATCCAGAAGACATCCCTGGACCTGTTCAGTGCTTACCACAAAAGGCCCCAATATTTTATTGGGTTATTCTGCACTAGAAGTCATCATCAAAAAGATATCAAGTTTTAATTCCTATCTTACTGCATGCATTAATATTTTACTGGGTAACCTGAAATGGACTAAAGTATGTACCTATGTCCACCTCAAAACCTTGCTTTCCAGATGTGCTGGCTTTGGCTGGGGTAGAGTTAATTTTCTCCACAGTGGCTGGTATAGGACCATGTTTTGGATTTGTACTGAACACAGGGTTGATAATATAGAGATGTTTTTCTTATTGCTGAGCAGGATTTACAAAGACCTGAAGCCTTTTCTGCTTATCATACTGCCACGTTGGCAAGGAAGCTGGGGGTGACTGAGACTGGGAGAAGACACAACCAGGACAGGTGACCCAGACTGACTGACCAAAGGATATTCCACACTGTATGACATCATGCTCAGGATATGGGGGAAGAAGGAGAAAGGAGAGGTTTTTGGAGTGATGATGTTTGTCTTCCCCTGTAATTGTTAAGCATGATGGACTCTGCTCTCCAGGGAATGACTGAACACCTGCCTGCCCATGGGAAGTAGTCAAGTAATTCTTTGTTTTGCTTTGCTTACATGCACAGTTTTTGCTTATTAAACCTCAATCCACAAGTTTTCTAGCTTTTGCTCTCCCCATTCTCTCCTTTATCCTGCTGTTTGGGAGATGAGAAAGCAGCTGAGGCTTGAGGCTTGGGGATTGGCTGTGCTCAAACCATGATACCAGAAAAAGAAACTCCTTAGTACATTACAGGATCCAGATTGTTCCCAACTCTGTTACAAATCCCATGTGGCCTTGGAAAAGCTGCTTCTTGTGATTTCTATCTATAAAACAAGGGTAAATAATGGTCTTGCTCAATGAGCAACACTTGTGGTCTGTAAGATTACATTCAGAATTAAGTTTCAGTAGTGACAAATGCAACAAAATAGCAAAATAGTATCTGCATCTTCTCCATCCTTTGATTGTTTCTCAAGCTGTCTGCTCTCCTTGTTTCTAATACATACCATACCATTTTACACATGCCATTAAAGCAATACTTACAGAAAGTACATACCTGGGCTAAAAAATTTTGCTGGGGATCCTGATGAAGAGGTGAGATTGTACCTCCTGGACCAAACCAAGCATTAATGGTGATGTCATCTTCTTCTCCTTCCCCCAAGCAGCAGTAGTCAGGGATACTGATATCTTCTTTAAGTTCTGGGATCTATTTCCATGAAGAAAGAAACATTAAAAAGAGTATGTGTTGACTTTGCCAAAAGATGTAATTCATAGAACAGATGAGCAAGGCTGGACACAAAGAAAACAAATGCCTGGCTTGTCCAGCAAATGTAGGAGACAAGTAGCTGACCTGCTAGGAATCTGCAGGAAATGTTCTCAAACTTTCTGTTCTAGTGAGCAGACTCTGTTGGAAGGAGAAGCAGGAGAAAGAAAGGAGTTTCCTCATTCTTCAGAGACCCTATGCTTTTGCAGAAATCAGAGATACCCACAAGAATAAGTATGTTTTCTCTTCATTGAAAAGGAGCAGCTGATCTCTTCTATACTATGCTTGCTTCTCTGTGAGCTATCTTTTTATGTCTCCCACCAACCTAAGCTCTGGTAAACTGGAATGACATTTCAGATTGTGGTAAACATATCAATGTTGAAGACTTTCCTGTTCAAATCTCTTCCCTGACTTATGAAATGGGCTTTCCAGCTGATATCCCCTAAGGATATGCTACATTGTACTGAAACAGTGCTAGGATTGAATGTCTTCATCCCAAAAGGATTTTTTTCCTATGTCTTGCAGCCAAATGGAACAAACCTCTCCCTCTGTTCCTTCAAATCATGGGAATAGAAACTTAAGAATTACTCTGAATTCTCCATATACCCTTCGATCTAGTACAGTCAACATCCTCAGAGACAACTTGTGCTACAAAAGGAACACGACTGTAGGGAGATAAAAATATTCACTCAGTTTTACCTGATCAAAAAGCTGGTGCTGGGCAAGGTATCCTACATTGTTCTGAAATGACAGCAGAGAAAGAAAACACAGTAACATACAGGAAAGACAGTGGGTTAATTTACTTACAGGTGAATAGAATTTACATATAGATAACATCCATTTCCAGTGTCCTATTCAGAGTACTGTAAGTATTTCAACAGTACAAGGGGTCTTCAGAAATTTACAGCTCCATTGAAATTGTGACACTGTAGGTGTGTCTCCACAATCTATAAATCATGCAGCTTGAGTTACTGAAGGAAGCTGGGACTCCCTATGGAGTATTGACAGCTGACAATGCACAGCATCTTTCTAGCCAGACCCTGCTGGCACACAGACCAGTTCTCCCTTACGCCCTGGAACTACTTCCATACTATATTCCAGGGTGCACCACAGATCAGTTTGCTATGGCACATGGTCCTTCCTGCCAGAAGGTCAGGAAACAGAAATGGGGGCTTGGGATCTTCATCTGTGAAAGCAAAAGGACATTCCAGATGCTAATCAACTTTGTACTTTTCTGCCTCATGGCAAGTAAATTTGGATCTGACCCTAAATCTCACTAAGCAGTTTAATGAGAAAGAGGAACAACACTGCTGGCTGATGATCTCTTATTCTTAGATTCCACCAGTCAGATTTTTGCTCCATATGTATATATGAATGTGCATATGTATTCATCAAATTCCAGCTATTGTACATTTGATTACAGGTAAAAATCAAACCTATTGTTGCAATAATTATTCCCAGCTTCAGGTCTTGAAAATACGTCAAACCTTTTAATTCAGAGCTTGTGCTTACACACCCCCTCGAGTGTCTGTCCCTTGCTGTGTCTGGAAATGAAACAAATGAGTGTAACAGACCTCATCCATGATATACTGGCTGATGAAGTCACTGACAGTCATGAGCTGCTGAGACCATTCCTCATCTGTGTACCGAGCACCCAACTCCACAGGGACTGTGCGGCACCCTGCCACTTGACAGAAGTAGTCCACACTGAAATAAAAAAAGTTCCATTACCTTCTATACTGCTCTTACTAATTTTGAATGTAAGGCAATCAATCTAAAACAGTCTTGTTGAGTAATAAAATTCTACTACCCTGAGTTTCTCCTGTCTAAACCAAACCAATCAGAAGAAAAAGGCAGAAGAAAAGAATGCAAGCAACAAGGAAATCACCAGGCAGGTTTGTGTGTTCATGACCTCACAACTATCTTTTGTTTTGGTTTAAAAGCCTGTTTGCCTCAGTTGTTTCTTTGCAAACTAAGAAGATTTAAGCTGTTACTATCTCTTGGCAAGGGATGGCAAATATTTTTGCTGCCTGCTGCCACATTTGATAAAATGTTGTATCTTTTATTCAGTAATATTAGATCAACTCTCTGTCAGTGTCAATACAGGTGCCAATAACACCCAATCCAATTGTTTTAGTTTGATGGGTGAAATACATCTCTCTTTAATACCATTGTACAATGGACAATGTTATTAAACGGAGAAGTTAATATTTTTAAGTGTCTAAAGTTAACCAGTGCAGTACCTTCCCTCAAAAATTAATAAAATCCCTATGACGAAACAAGTGTGTCCACTTAATTTTACCTTTGGTTGTTGAACTAAAGCAATTACTCAAACTAAGCATGAGTGATTTTACCCCTTTTCTAGGGAATCATGACCTTTACCTCACCAATACTTGATGCTCAGTATTAGATACGTGGGCACCATTGTATTGATCAAGAAGCACAATGCTGTTATTCACTCCTGCACAGTGGTCTCTGAAACTCAACACTCAAACACAACACTGAACAAACATCAGTGCTTGGATTTATGAATGAAAACGTCAACAATGCTTACTCATGGCTCTGAAATTCACTTTCCATTGCACTAATTATTGGCAAGTTCCAAGGGGTTAAAGCCACCGATGTGTGCATGACACAGATCCACTGAGCTTTGAGCAGCTCACTGGCACTTTGCAATGTGCACTTCTCATGAGCTCCCAGGTGTTGCCATTGGGTTCCTGGGACAGCTGAAGGCTGGGCAGAGGGTGGCCTTCACCCAGAAAGAGCCAGAGGCTGGTCAAAGGGTCACCTTTGCCCTGACACACTCCAGCACCTGCTGTGATACCCTGAATGCTATGAAGAGCTTCTCTCATCTATGAAGGAACTTCACAGAGCAGTAAGACACCGCTGCTAGCAAAATACACTGCCCACGGTATCCATCCTCTGTGAAGGTCTGTGCTGCTCTATCGAGCATCAAGATATCCAACTCAGGGAACGATCGTGACTTTACTTGAACAGGGAAGGAACTTTGCTTCTCACCTCCACTTCTTCATACACGGCCAGTGGTCCATGACGCCCTCCAGAACCACGGGCCGCTGGGGAATGAGGTAGCATTCCCTGAAGCGCTCCAGCGAAGGACAGCGAAGGTGCGGAATCACCTCCTGCGGCTGCAGCGCAGGAGGCGGCGGCTGCAGCCGGACCCTCTGGAATGAACGCTCCCTCAGCAGCCGGCACGGCCCCGCGCGGGGAGCGCGAGGNTCGTGCCGGGGCAGCTCGGGCTCGGTGTTGGTACCTGTGCGTGGCCGTGATCGGCGCTGTTTTCGCAGTAAAGGGGAGCGCACGGACGCGGTGAAGGTCACGGTCACCTCTCTGGCCGTTCACCCAGGGCCGGCGTGAGGAGGTGGCTGCCTGCGCTGTGGACAGCGGAGCGCAGGCGGTGGGTGCTGCGGGGAGATGTGCTCTTCCCAGCTGACCTTTTGTGCTGCAAAGAAACATCTCTGCCCCGCCCCGGCGTGCGCTCGAGGAGCTGGAGCGGAGCCCAGCGCGGCTCTGAGCCCGTGTCCTCCCGCTGGCTCAGCTGTTTGCTGTTAATCTGCACATAGGACGTGCTTTCTGCATGGGATATTTACGGAAGTTTTCTAACGCGCTGGGCACAACGTCACTGAGCCCCAACCAAAAATTGCTTTGATAATGTGCCCTAAACGTTCTCAGGATTTAGTACTTGACAGCAAAGGTGAAACAATATTGTATTTAAAATTCAGCACCGAGGAATGTTTTAACATGGTGAACCAAGCTCTAAACCACCATAACAGGAAATGACGAATGTTTAGCTCCTAGTTAGGGTCGAAATCTTCAGATTTGAGACAAATCCTAATTTACAGTAAAGGTTAAAATAATTGTTTTCTGTACTGAGACGCATGTTTACACAGAATCACACAGAATCATTAGGTTGGAAGAGACCTTCAAGATCACTGAGTCCAACCAATGCCCTAATACCTCAACTAAACCATGGCACTGAGTGCCGCATCCAGTCTTTTTTTAAACACATCCAGGGATGGTGACTCCACCACCTCCCCAGGCAGACTGTTCCAGTATTTTATTACTCTTTCCATGAAGAACTTTTTCCTAATGTCCAACCTAAATTTCCCTTGGCACAACTTGAGACTGTGTTCTCTCATTGTCTTGGTTGCTGTCTGGTGAAAGAGACTGACTCAGTCACTAGTGCTTTCCAAAAGGGGGAAAAAAGTTGATGTGAGCTCCTTCTATTGCTTCTGGTGGTGGCCCTCCCCCTGCTCCCCATCTGTCTCCTCAAAATGATCACTACTGCTCTCACACTTCCCGCACTTCAAACTTGTGCATTGCTTATCATGCTGGCCTGTTTCCTGTCTTCTTACTGCCTTTCTCTTGGCACCTTAAACTCCTCCTGTGACAATGTGATTTTAGCACCTTCATTCAGTCTTTTCTCCTTAACTGCTAAATGTTAATGTATGCTACTGTAGGAGGAAGTATTTAAGCAGCAAGATTTTCTTGTTAGACCCCGTGTTCATTATTTGCAATTTAGTTTGCTAGCAAGTGTTGTTAATCTTGTGTCTGTGGAGTGTCCACTTTTTGTAACCATTTTCATTAACTTTTATTTGCATTTAAGTTGGTTAATACAATTCTCATTAAATAATAGTTTTTGTAGTTCAAATATGAGTAATATTTTCACAAGTTTCACTTTGAAGATTAGGATTTTCTCTTTCTGGAATTTCAAATAACACCAAGGTCTGAAAGAGCAATCTCCAGCACAGCAGTGAGGCATTGAGGCCATGATGAGCTTTATTAATTTCATTTCAGGTGATTTTAATTTTGCAGTATTCAGGGAGGCTCAGTGTTTCTCTGTGAGCATACACTGGAAGACAGTTATTTCTAATCAGATTTGGTGCAATATTTTGAATTCTGATACAGCATCAATAGTCTTGAATCACAGAATCAATTAGGTTAGAAAAGACCTTTGAGATCATCAAGTCCGGCCTATGACCTAAGGCCACCCTGTCACCTGGACCATGGCATTGAGTGCCACTTCCAGGCTTTTCTTTAACACCTCCAGGAACGGTGACTCCACCACCTCCCTGGGCAGCCCATTCCATTGCCCAATCACTCCTGATGTGAAAAACTTCTTCCTAATGTCCAGCCTAAAACTTGCCTAGCACAACTTAAGACTGTGTCCTCTTGTCCTGTCACTGGTTGCCTGGAACGAGAGACCAACCCCCATCTGGCTACAAACTCCTTTCAGGGAGTTGTCATTGCAGTTAAAGGGGCTATATATCTTCTGAAGTAATAAAGCTCAGGTCTTAAGGTGCGTACTGACTCTTGTGTATTTGGCCTCTAGTCTTGGAGGAAAATCCACTAAAAGCTCATAATATCATGCTGCATCTTAACCACTTGGTTGAAATTTTCTTCACTGGGGAAAAAAAGCCAACAGATTAGCAAACACCGAATTGGGAAGTTTAGCTCTCAGAGCAGTTAATCTTGCAATAATGCGAGCTAGTTTTGAAATACCTGTAAACTACTGCAGATGTTTTGTGTGAGCTGGCTGACCAAGGAAATAGACGACTTCAGTGCTAGACATTTCCATTTTAGGTCAAGAAGAGAGAATTTAATTCCTGCTGCCAAAGAACAAAGATTACTGTCATGTGTTTAACTTGCAGAAAGTGATGGGAAAAAAGAGTTCCACGGATTATGCCACCATCACTGATGCTTGTGCTGTTTCCATCAGAAGTAAATTCTTCAAAGATTATGGAAAGCAGACTGCCTAGAAAGATGTCCCTTAAAGCACAGAAGAAAAGTTACTACCAAAATTTCCCCTGCTGTTTCCTGGGTTATAGTCTGTGCTTTTTGCTTTCTTTTATATTCTGTATATTTTTAAAATATGCTCCAGCCACCTCTCTTTCTCCTAGCACTGACTTTCAGGAAAAAAATATCTATTTAGAAAAACCCAAACAAACAGGCACACAATTAAGGGAGATAATGGAGCCTGATGAATCATCCGTACTTCTCTCTTCTGTTTATAGTCATACATTCCAGGACCCACACTTGATGTTGAGGTTGATGCTACCTTGTCTGCCACTGGTGAAAAAAAAAAAAGCTCTGTATCTTATCTTGCATTTGTCTTCATTGAAAAAAGTAGGTATTTGGCCTGTCCTGAATTTAAGTTTTTAAAAATTTTATTTATAGGAATATTCTCCTTTATAGCACTCTTTCATCATTTACTAATTTGAGTTAGTGAACAAAGCCCTATGATTGTTTTTGGATTTTATTAAAGTTAACCACTGAACACATACTCAGTGGTTCACCACTTAAGTCCAAAGTAGGTTGTTTGTATTAGGTGAATCAATTTTTAAAATGACGGCATCTGCTTACTTTTACACATATATTTATGATTCTTCCCTAGGTGAATGTAGCAGGAGTCTGTTGAGTAATAGCCAGCTGCTCGAATTAGCAGATAGAGAAAGTATTTATTTGTTCTGTGAAGGGGTGTGAAAGCTGAGGCATCTAAACAGATGCCCCAAATATCTAAACACAAGTCAGGATGTGTAAATTGCTTGCAGTGCTGACTGGGAAAGTCATCTCAGACGGGTTGCCTTGTCTGGAGTTCTTGCTAAATGTGAAACCTTCTCCAGTGCAACATCATGTCTAGCAATCCAGAGCACAAGAAATGACACTGAAGATTTTCTTAGGACTCCAGGCTGCTGCTCAGCTCCTCAGGAATGCCATGTCCCTTTTGGCAGCTTGGTTCTTTGGAATTTACACCCTCCTTAAAGGGAGGATGGCAAGAAGATGGAGCCAGGCTCTTCTCAGTGATGCCCAGCAGTAGGAAAATAGGCAATGGGCAGAAACTGACCATGAGGAAGAGCTTCTTCACTTGTGTGGGCGAGATGCACTGAACAGATTGCCTGGAGAGGGTGAGCAAAGTCCCTTACTGGAGATATTCCAGAATGATCTGGACATGATCCTGTGCCATGTGCTCTGGGATGACCCTGCTTGAGCAGGGAGGTTGGACTGGATGACCCATCTGTGATCCCTTCCAAAAGGAACCATTCTGTAATTCTGTACCAGGGAATTCTGTACCAGGGAATGTTCCCCTGTTTCCAGGGTTTTTGGAATGCCTGGGCATGTGCCTTCACAGGCCTTTGTAGCAGGTGCATGCCTGTCAGTATTGGCAGTGTCCAGGATCAGAGGTGAAGTGGTGACAGGCTGGTACTGCTGCTGCCTTGCCACCAGTGCTTGGGCTTTTTTTGCTTCCAGGGGTGATTGACTGTTACCTCCCATGATATATATACACAATATACTCATTTAACATAGCTTCTGTGCCTCCCCACCCATTCAAAAAAAAAAAAAAAGGTAAAAGTAAGTGAAAATGAAACCTAAGATGCCCTCTGGCACTTAAATGGGAGTATAACCTGATGACTGCTATGAAAGCCATAGTTGGCTCTTATTTTCCTTTACAGGAAATGATAGTCTCTTCTGCAAGAACAAAAGCGTGAGCACATAAGACTTTAATGATTTTGGATGTCTTTCTGGGTTGCTTTTTTGTTCCTCTGAACAGGAGATGAATGATTCTGATTCAAATATGCACAGAATTAATTATTAAACATAATTTTCCTCAGATGAGCAAGGTTCCTGATTGAGAGTAACACAGCCATGTATTTTGATGGTATCTTGGAGATGAGTGTAATTGTGCAGCGACAGTGTAATGACGGATATATCTTTATCAACCTGTTCCCTGAACTGTGTTTTATCACTGCCATCTGCTTGGCCAAGAGTGGCAGCTGCCAGGTCTCACAAATAGTGCTGTCATGTACTTTCATATAGAACAACATATTGTTGTAATTTCCCTGATATTACTAGATGAAATAACTTTGAGATAAGGTGACATTTTGCATGGTGCTTTGGAATGCTTCTCATTGCTTTGCGTATAGGACACACAGTGTTCTTTCTGGAGCAAGCACATCTAGTTCTACTTTCAGGAATCACTGGAAAATACTTATTTTACAAAAACATTATGTAACATCCATCTGGGACATATGTGTCAGTTCTGAGATGCAACTGAGACAGTCAGTATTGGTTATACATGTAGCCTTAGTTACCTTAGCTGGATGGAAATTATGTAAATTAGACTATTTCAAAATTCTTTTTCCTTATATCAACTTGAATCCCCTTCATATTTGCAAATATGTTCAGACAGCTCCTTCAACATTAAGGAAAACATGAAATCTTTACTACTGTCATGAATGACTGCTTTGAGGTTGCTTAAGGAATCACCGGCAAAGGTATCAGCAGAAACATGTTTAACATAAAAGTAGAAACATGAAAAAGTTTGTTGGCAAAGTTAACTACTACTTGGTTTAAGAACTAGAAAAAGCAAAAAAAAGTCTAAAAATCAATCAATCCAAAACCAGAATCAGCTCCAAAATTATCTGTGGGAAGGCTGGTGGGTGGAGGGGGAAAAAGGGTAAGGGATAGAAAATGTTCAAGATAAAAAGGAATAAGGAAGACCTTCCTGCTGAGTCACAAGGTTCAGAATGGACCTCTCTGCTAAACTGAGATGGGGCTTGACCAACAGTTTAGGCCCAAAAGTTTAACAGCTCTTAACTTTAACAACGCTTAACTGATAGTTCAAATTAAGCATTTTAACAAAGGTTTCGTATGGAATTTACTATAGCACAACAGTAGCTACCAGGACTAATTTACTTACAAATCTAAACTTCTTAAGAATTTGAGAGAACAACATTTATAGTACATTTCATATAGCATGTTCACATTTGCATGCACAGAGACCTAAATACTATGTACAAGGTATGTACCTGTGAAAAATTCTCCTTGAATTCAGTGAAGGATTCACATTAGATGCCTTTGCATCTTCTCAAGAGACAAAGGGTTGAACCTCAAGGAGTGAGGGCATCAGCCCAGGATCTATCTTGTCATTCAGCAGTGGTTGTCTGAGTATAGCAAACAAGAATTCACTGGCTCTGAGTGGTCCCATTCAAAAGGAGGTTGCTGGTCGCAGCCAGAAGAATTCAAAGGGTCTCATTCAAGACCACTGTTCATAGGGTCACGAGAAAAATTATTTTCATCCTGGCTGCAATTTGCATTGGTAACTTTCTCTGAAATTTAGATGACAAAAACGTCATTCAACTTGGGTTGTTATTCAGGCAAGGAAAATAAGTTTCCAAGTCTGTTCATTAAAAACAGGAGCTCATTAGACAGCACCGCTTCCTGGGAACAGACACTGTTTCTGATAAGCTCAAGAGGAGCTTGGCACAGGTGCTGTTTGTCAAGGCCTAAGCCTAGCCAGCGTTTCTTGGATCACAGTGCAGCCCAAGAAGGAACAGAGCAGATGCACTACAGCAAGAACAAACCTTTAAAACAATCTTTATAGCTGCAGATGCAAAGAAAACTAAATTGGGATATTTCTTATTACTAATGAGCATTAATGAGAAACAGCCTTTCTCATGAGGCAAAAAACCCCATTGTAATGAAGAAGGTAGAATATGTATTCCCAATTCTTCTATCATTTTCTTATTCGAGTGCCATAGGATGTCAACTGCTGAACAGCTGATTGGCAGCCTGAAGGTCTGAGGCGGAGACAGCTGGCTTGTAGTCAGCCTGTTTGGAACACTGCTGCAGGTAGAAAGCCTTCTTGACAGGAGTATGGAAGGAAATGATGGCATGAGTCCTTTATGTTTTTCTGTTTTGTCCGAATGGATGTGTAGCATTGAAATTTTGTTGCTAGTGAGGCAGAGGCCGTTGGAATTGAGAACAGTGTTCTCCCAGTGACAAACAGAAGGCCAGGCCAGCAAAAAATCTCTTGGCATTTAGCTGATGTTATACACTCTGGAAATGTAAGGCTTACCTGTCACTCCAGTAGTGCATTACCTGTGCACTCCAGTAGTAGATGCAGGCTCCTGGCATTGTACTGATCTTGAGTACACACAAGATTCCCTTTTTGGGCTAAGGGCTGGGACATGCCATTTTCATTAGCCACACTTCTTTATATATATTTATGTACCTTAAGAGGAAGAATATATATACAGATATATAAACATTTTTACCTTCCTCCCAAGACTTAGAAATGTCATTTGAAGCTTGTGTTTGATTCAATCCCCTGGATTAGGGCTATAAATGTTGCATGAATTTGTTTTCTGCTCTAAGTATACACATTTATCTGTGTTCCTACATCACATTCTTATTAATGAGCACATCACAATTGTTGGTTGTATTGCCTTTTGTTTCTGTGGATGTTTTTGAAAGATATTTTAAAGTCTTTGCTGGAGTTTGCATGTGCTTCAAAAATTAAATTTAGTCTGTGATTTTATTACCCTTTTTATTTAATTTATCTTAATTGTTGCTTTCAAGCTGTGAACCAGCTGTTGACTTTGAAAAACATTGTTCAATTTGAAAGGAGCATTTTAAAGCTTAATGTAATGGCTGTAATCACTACAGCAATTATATTCTCTGGTGTTGTGCATCACTATAGCAATGGAGGCTGTAAGAAAACACAGGAGAGAAACCCATCAGGTTCATATGTCTCCGTTTTGTCTGCAATGCTTAGCATTCTGTGTAGCTTGGTTTCCCTGCTTGAATTGTGTCAGAAGATCAGAAGTTGTACTCTGTTGCGGCTTCATGTTTGCCCGTCAGGAATCAGGGGCTCTTGGCTCTCCTTAGATTAGAGACCAGGTTTTGCTTTTTCCCATGTGGATCAGTGGTAGATATGCTGCTCTTCTGCCTCCTCTTGACTCATTCTACAATATTATGTGGAATTTTGGGGTTGGTTTTTCTTGAGCAGCTGTGTACCCACCTTCCCTGATGCCCGTGATAGCAAAGCTCTTCACAAAGCATACAGAGAGTCTGGCCAGGATGCGAGATCTTAGCGTCTGGTAAGGTCAGACTGTGCTCCCACTGTGCTTTGGAAAGCATGGTAAGAAGAATCGATGGAAATGGGTGTATTTTCATTCATGTTTTTAGAAGGAACATTCTCCATTTATTTGTGAATAGCTTTCCAGTTCAGACAGGCTGGAGTTTTTGGGGAAGAAAATTTTCTGGATCACTGCAGTGAGAATAAGGGAAGAAGCATGGACTTTGCATACCTTCATGTTGTAATAGTCCATGAAAATGCTGTGCAGCTTCCTCTTCCCTGGATGTTCTCTCCATCATGATTTTTAAAGGAATGTAATGCACATCACTGTGGAAATAGACTATATTTCCCAACTAGTCACCCAGACATGCTTTACACACAGCTTGTGTTTGAGAGCTGTGGACAACGCTGCTGTTCCAAAATGACAGTGCAGGACTTATGCTGTCTCTGCTTTTCACAGAATCCCAGAATGGCTGGGCTTGGAAAGGGCCTCTGCAGATCATCTAGTCCAACCCACTGCCAAGGCAGGTCCAGCTAGAGCAGGTATTTTTGCCAGTGTGTGTTGCAGAGCAGGTTCAAGTCACCTGCCAAGTTACTTGCCAGTTCCCGTTAACAGTTCTGTGAAGTAACAGTGCAGGTGGAAAAAACCCAGTAGGAAGTTTAGATTCAGCAATATACTAAACCTTCCCCAAATTTAATTTGTAGCAAGATTCTTCAGAATACATATCTAATGGCAGCATAATCTGAGCTGATGCAGTATAGTGACAATAATGAGAAAAGCAATTATGCAGGGAGAAGGGGGCATTGTGAGTTTGGGATGAATGGGAGACCAGGCTTACTACTGAGGCATAATGTTGCATTGCCATGGCTTTTCAGAAAGAATAGAATATGCATTTGGAAGTGGGTTTTGTGACAGCACTTGTAGTAGATGGTATTTGTGGTAATACAACTGGGGTGATCCTCTGCTAAGAGGTAGCTGTGCCTTGGCATGGGAAAGCCCAGCTGGAACGAATGTTGCTGTAAAATGAAAAAATGAGATTCTCACAAGAACAAAGGTCCAACTGTCTGTGTGTTCAGTGTGCATTTGTGGGACATGCCCAACAAAAGGAGTTTCAGTGTAGTTTCCCATTTCCCCACCTGTATGTAATGCAATCCAAACAGAAGGTATAGATTTTACAAGTGTGCTTCAGAGATCAGGCATGTCCTTTCTGGACACATGTAGCAGAAGATGGGCTGGTGATCACAGAGGTCACAAAGGGACAGAGACAGAATCCTCATTGTGACAAAGCCCACATGATATGTGATTCACACTGTATCTTGTACGTGTATGTGTGTGTATAAATTAGACACTTAAAGGAAGTAACTGCTGGGATGGAGACAGACATGGAACAGTGTGTTCTGGAAAGTTAAAAGCCTAGCCAGTGTACCAAGGTATTTCTTAATGTAGCAGAATGAAATTCCTTTGGGTGCAGCAAGTGAGACACATAAAGTATAATGCCCTGTGAAATCACAAAGAGCCACTTTCAGCAGATGGAAAACCCAACTTTAATACAAAACCAAACATTGATAGACTCTGCCTTTGATAATCCAAGTACCAGCTTACATTTTACAGTATCCATAACTGGCTGTGAAATGTATTTTGGTTGTTAAATGCACTTGCTAGTTTGTCATTATATAGAATTTAAAATTATGTATCCTATGTTCTGCTGTTTTCTTCACTATGAGAAACTAAACAAACTCTGTGACAAATGGCTCCCATGCTGTTTCACTCTCTTCTCTGCTGCACCAATGTGGCTGTTCTCAGTGTGGAACTGAACACTAGGGCTTGAAGCTGGTTTCAGGAGTGCCTGTGGTAGGGATGTCAGGAGGCATAAGGGGACATGTATGAAGAGCCCATTGCCAATGGCAGAGTTTAGGCTGGCACCCTGGAACCAGGGAGCTTTCCTGTGATCTTAAAGGAGCTGCATCGTCATGTAAGTTGGATGTGAGTGCTCACCTTTCCTCACCACCTCTGACCGTCTTGCTATGTCCGCAGAGGAGTGGGGCACCTCTCCCAGCTGTCCTGTGCTATGAGTGACTGACCTGATATAGTCCAGTGTAGAGAACTAGGAAGTGATGAGCAGAAGGAGGAATAATCCTAATTTTGCATAGACAGTCAAAAGTACAGGGGTGATTGTTAAGTAATGAATGAGACCTGGGATAGTAATAAATACTTACATGGAAAAGCTGGCATAGCGCTGAGTCATAAGAGTAAATAACATGTTAGGAGTTCTTAAAGAAGCAACAAGACTGTAACAGGATTATGTCCTTACCTAAATTCCTAGTGTTGTGCACCTTGAATACTCTAGGCAGTGGTGTCCTCTCATTTCAGAAAGTAAAGAATTGAACTAGAAAATGTTAGTCAAGACAGACAAAGATAATAAAGGTCTGGAACGTCTTCTTTATGAGGAGAGCTCTGCCTTGGAAAAAAAGACAATTAAATGGAATATGTGTGTATAAGATCATGTGGAATAGGAAGGATGAGGGAGGAATGATTGTTCACTGTCTCTGTTGATGAAGGGCCTGGAGCTGGAAGGACAAACATAACAATATGAGTCAAACTCAAAGGAAAAAATCAAAGACAAAAATCAAAAGGGAATCAAAATCATACTATGCACACTGGAGCTGTTGAACTCCTTGTGTCAGGATGTTGTAGGTGCTAAAAATTAAAAAAAAAATTAAAGCAAAAACTGTGGAATTTAAATCCATCTGTGAATATTAAACACCAAAGCCCCACCACATTCTGTCTTAGAAATTTTTCAAACTGTATGTGCATCACTAGAGATTGGGAACATGCTGCTCTGTGCTTTTCTATTTCTTACCTTCTTTGCTAGACATTCTTCTTCTGTCTGTTGCCAGAATATTGAGCTGAATAGACTTTAGATTTGAAGCTATGTGGCTACTCTTGCATGTCTATGTCATCCTCAATTTGCAACATTCCAGGAAAGAAGCTATGTATGATACAGATTTACACTTAGGGCCAGTATTTTTTACTGTTGTTTTAATTACTTCTAAAATTGTCCTCTGGGTCATGAAAGATAACTGCAGCCCTAGGCCATGGTGTGTTTAATTCTTGCAGTGAAAGTTGTATTGCCAGCAATGGAAGTCAGGTCTAAAGTGGGGAGACAAGTGCTGTGTTGCACGGATGTCACAGATGGGCAGGCAAGGCTCTGATGCACTGATGTTTTGGTAATTGATTGGGGTGAAGAAAGAAAGGGGAAGAGTTTCAGTCAGCATCTAGGATCCATTCATAGGCCTCTGTGAGATGGTCAGTTGAGGTCTGGGAATGTTTATGGAGACTCCTGTGCAGTGGATGGTGATTGAAGGCCATGCACTTCGATGCCTGTGGAAGGAGCTGGCAGCCTGCTAGCATGGAGAAACCCAGATGGTCAGAAGGTTGTGGATAGACGGAAATTTGTATTGGGTTAAGCAGACAGTCACTCCAGTCTCCACCATTCCCACTGCTTTGCACTCTTGGCTGTTCACTGAGTGGCACAAAAGTCCTGTGGGTGAGTTCAGGGCTGTCTCCTACTGCATGGCTGTGTTGCTGTCAGGATGGAGCCAGGAAAGCTCCCCAGCTTTTCCTCTGCAGGAAGCTTTCCATTTTTACACGCCATGAAATAACTCCTGTGCACGTAATTAATCACAGTTTACATGGTAGAAATCCTTTTTTATGGGTAAATAATGTGTATCCCCTGCTGGAGTGGGGGTTCTGCTAGTTTCAACGTTTGATTATTACATTATCTTCCCATTAAATTATCAGAATGAGACCAGAGGAAACTAGCAGTAGTGGGAATAACTAGCAGCTGCCTTGTGTTTGAGGCATGGGCTTACCTCCTTAATGCTCATTCAGAAGTTAAGGAGAATGCAGGTTTTCTTGGTGCTGCCAAGCAAGTGTCACAGAATTTCTGGTTAGCACCATGGTGCTGTGCAGAGAGGCCTGGCTAGGTCTTACTCACAAGGAGCTTTATTCCAGAGAAATTCTGTGCAAACGAGGCTGCTCAGCCCCTGGTACCTGCCTGAATCTATCCCCTTTGCTTGCTGCATGTCTGCTGAGAGCTGCGTGGGAGGATGCCTGGGAATGCTCGGTAACATGACTTTATCCAGTCTCTTCTGTCAGGCAGGCTCAGACAAGTCCCAGCAGTCACAAATGTATGGCTTTCCTGTGTGTGAGGAGCGTCACTGTCACCCAGTGCTTCTGACAGAGAAAGGTGAAGAGGCTTGCCCAGGGCTGTGCAGTGTGTCTGCAGTAGAGCAGAGTCTGGGCTGCAAGTCTGCTCCTAGGAGAGACCAGCCCCACACTGCTGCATGCAGGCACACCCTTCTGCTGAACAGTGGTTCAGGGGCCCTCCTGCCAGCACAGGTGTGGCTGATGGCCTCTGGAGAGGTGGTGTGCCAGCCTGACTACCAGCCACATATATGATCACAGCATGCGTAAGGAGACCCACTCTGAAGTGAGTGATGTTCATCTGGGAAGTGTTTGCTAGGAGCACATGCTAGTTCCTGCACTCTGATTAGCCTAAACACCACTGTATTTTTCCTGGTTTATGTTTCCTTTTCCTCCCTTGACTTTGCTACTTTTGCTTTCTTTAAGGTTGGATTCTCTGTTGTAATTACTACTTTAATCTAGAATGTTGCCACCTGCCTCCCTGACCCAACTTCTGGCCACCTTTATGGACAGTGCTAGTAACAAGTCAAGGTGCCTCTCACTGCAAGGTTCCTGCAGAAATAACTCCCTAAATAAATAACAGGCAAATTGGATATTGGAAAAGAACTTTAAATAAGCTCTGAATTCCTAGGGAACTACATCTTACATCTCTGTTAGGGACAAATGGGTTCAACATAAGTAATGTTCCTCTGAAATGAAAAATAAAGAAACATTGTTCATCAGCCTCTAGATGGACTAGGATGAGAATTGTCTTTGGTGATAAAAGCAAAATGCAAAGATGTCCCTGGATAGTAGATGAGAGCAAAAGAATAAAACATCATTGGACGATAAACATAACTTTGGACATGTGCCACAGCTTGCGTCCAGATAGCTGCTTTGGGTTGATTCCTCTAGCTTTTTCCTCTCATGCCACAGAAACAAGCTAAAGACCTTTTACTGTGACACTATTCTTGGCAGCCCTTTGTGGCACATGCCAGACCATGACCTTCCCAGATGGAGTTGCATCTTTCAAACACAGCCTTGTTCTGAATTCTAGCTCTTCAATAAAACATAACCAGCTGGAATTCTCTCAATGACTTTCTGTTTTTTCCCATACTGATGTAATGCTAAAATCCATCTTGTTCCCACTTCAGGTGATTCATTGATGTTTTTATTTTGATTGCTATGTCCCTGTTGTTTGATGCTTGCCCCTTTTTCCCTTCAGGAGTTTATGACTGGATAAGCCCCTTTTGGTTCTGGGAAACACATTCCTGTCAGTATGTGGACCAATTGCTTTTTCTCTGGATGTTTTGCTTTCTGAGCTATAAAGTTCTCTGTCAGAACACGGCGGTGCCAGTGTTTTGAGTTTGTGGCTGTGATTGAGCAGCGGAGCTCATTGTGATGTGGGTGTGATGGCATGTGCTATGGAGGAATCCCCATTTGTGTGCTGTTCACTGCATAAGGATGTGCGTATGGGTTTTGCTACCTGTCATCTCCATCCTGTTCTTTGCCCCACCAGGTGTATCCAGAGGGTGTTGCTGCTGCCACTTATGCAGCACCTGCTCTTTTGTCTCCCTTTGCATTTCCTGAGTGCGTGTCTGTCCCGAAGAAAGACTTATTCTTGCTCCTTGAGCTTCAGCTGAAGATGAACATGTTCAGTGCTGTAGAAGAGGCCCTTTCTTTTGAGAAGCTCTTTAGCTTCACTAAAATGAAATTCTTGGTGTGCCTGTCTATGCAAAGCAGCCCATCATTCCCTGTGCAGGCTGCGCTCGGTTCCTGAGGAGGGCAGCATGGGTTAGCTGATGCGTCTCGCCTGGAGTTCTGCTTTACATTCCAGCCATATTTAAGGCAGAGCTAGTGAAACGTAAAACAGCATTGAAGGAACTGGTAATAAAACTCCTGGCTCTGTGATGAGATGCCTGGTCTGAGCAGAGTGATCCCCACTCCTGTTCTTACAGGAGAATTTGTCTCTGGTAGAGGCTGTGCAGCCTGCTGCAGACTGACACCAGTGTCTGGTACTGGGGGACCTGCCTGCAGGCTAGTCCCACACTGCTGCCCAGGGGAGAGCGCAGACACAGAAAAGCAGGTGCATGAAACCCCAGCACCTCCCTCCCTTTGAAAGACTGACCCCGCATATTGGATGGACTTTGTGACTCCAGTGTTGTGGACAGGTTGTTACTACCTGTTGAGCACTGATATTGAGCTCAGCCTCAGCTCTATGGTGTATGTACAAAATAACAACGTGGAAACTTGCACGGTGGTGGGGTATGATGTATGTTTTTCACTAAGAGGAAGACACTGGGAGACCTAAGGAAGGGATTCCTAAGGTTCAAATCGAGGCACTTCAGTGCCTGACTGTCTTATAGGTGATGAATGAAGCTTTTTCCTTGAAGCAGAAACCAGGATGGTGTTAAGCTCACAAGAAACCTGGAAAATCATGTGGAAATACTTGTGACATGCACATTAAAACTAGATGAACTAATAAGGATTAATGTTGGTAGGAATAATGCCACTGGATATCACAATGATTAGACTATTATAATAATGAGTTTTCCAGAGAGGATGATGACAGGTGATTTATATACTGGACAGGTATTTCTTCTGTGTATCCAGATGATAAGCAACTCTGTAACTCGGCTGCAAGAATTTGGGGCTGCTTATTGCAAGAAGTTGTCCACTCTTCTACATAGTTGGTTAGCCAGAAAGATCCCAGAGAGGAAGGGAGAGAGGGCTGAGTAGACAAAAAGGGTGCTGGTGTCTTATTTCTTGCCTTCTTGGGGAGAGCTGTTGTTAACCTAGCGCTGAGATGTTTTCGGGCCTCTCTGGGAAAAAGAAGTCTTTCTGAAGGCATGATACAGGGACAGTTTTACAAGCACTACTCAGATGCAGTAATATGATGAAGGTCTGCTGTTTTATCACACACTCTACCTTTCTGCTCTGTTGGAATCAGCTGCTGTTTTCTGCTCTGGTATTCAGAAGAAATATATCCAGTGGGATATAAACTTCTATTATATAGACAGCTTCACACACTGGGTATGTGTATGGTCTTTGGCTACAGCAACCTTTGGTCTAACAGAGCTAGTACTCACTGCATGTGTAACAGTGATTCAGAAGCAAAACGAGAAACCTCTGATAGTAAGAAAAGGTAATTGCAATTTTCCATACATGGCATTCCATCCTTTTTCATTTTGTCTGTGACTTTGCTGTGCACTGGCTGTAGTTGTTGCTGACTAGGATGCACAGTCACTTGTCCATAGATTTTCTTCCATCTCTGTAGGCTGGCAGGAGATAAGGAATTATGGTGAATTCGTGCAGGGCCTATTCTGCCACTGTATTGTTAAATTGTTCAGAAGAAGTTTCTATTTCTCTGGAAGGGAAATCAAAGGAGGGAATCTATCTAGAAACTTGTTGAGGATGATGAAATGATGTGTCATTTGAAGCTTGCATGGTAGATATTGAGCTCATTCACTGGTTTGTTGACAGAGTGACAAGGGCAGCAACAGCTTAAATGTTTTTCCTCCTCTTTCTTTCTGAAGTATGCCTGGATCCTTTCTAGAGACCCATTTTGGACTTCAGAAGCTATGTGGATATCTACATGCCATCTGTAGACTTCTGAGTTAAAGTTTCTGAGGTAGAGTTTCTATCTCTGATGCTCACCTTGGGGAAGGTAGCAAAATATCACCATTATTCTCAGGTTTATATTCACTTTTAAAATTACGTCAAATGTTTAGTAATAACAATGATTATTTTCAATGCAAGCCTGAAAAAGTGAAAATAAATTCAGAGCATTTTCAACACTGAATTTTCATTATGGGTTCCTGTAATTCTTTTCTCTTAGTGAATCTTGCTCTTGCTTTGTTCTTTGCACAGTGAGACTTGTACAGCTACTAAGTGGCAAATCACCACAGATACTGAGCAAGCCTTGTTCATCCCACTTTCTGCAGAGGTTAAGTTTAATAGGGATTAAAAAAGCCAAGACTGACACTGGAAAGGTGAAGCATGCACAACTGGGGTTAGTGTGTTACCAGCGTTATGGCAGAGAATGGGACTGCACACCATTTTTCTGGTTTGCATGGACAGGTTTTGGTAACAGGGGATGGTAACAGGGACTTCTGTGAGAAGTTTCTCACAGGTTCAACAGGGTCAATGGCAGCTGGCTGCTGGCCACTGGCCAAGTCTGAGCCCAGCAGTGATTGCACTAAGGCTTCTGGGAAAACTAACATATTTAAGAAAGAAAAAGAATTATTACTCAGAGGTAATTGCAGGCAGGGAAGAGAGGAGTGAGAATATACGAGAGGAACATCTCTGCAAATGCCCATGTCATTGCAGGAGTGCAAGGGGACGTGCTCCAGGTGGCTGAGCATTTCCTTGCAGCCTGTGGTGAAAATCATGGTGAGGCAGCTGTGCCCTGAAGCCTGTGGAGGTCAGTGGGACAGTAGAAATCCACCTGCAGCCTCAGGAGGATGCCATGCCAGAGCAGGTGGATGCCCAAAGAAGGCTGTGGCACCATGGGAAGCCTGTGCTAGAGCAGGGTCCTGTGGAGAGAGGAGCCAATGCTAAAAGTGGTTTGCTGGCAGGGCTTGTGACCCTGTGGGGAACCCAGGCTGGAACAGTCTGTCCCTGAAAGGCTGACCTCTTGGAAAGGGACCCACACTGGAGCAGTTCATGAAGAGCTGCAGCCCAAGGACTCACACTGGAGAAGTCTGTGGAGGACTGTCTCCCTGTGAGGGACTGCCTGCTGAATCAGAGGAAGGAAGCAGTGGCACAAACCATGTGGGATGAACTAATAGTAACCCACATTCCCCATAACCCTGCACTGCTAAGTGGAGAAGGTGAAGAATTGGGAATAAAGCTGAGCCCATGAAGGAGGGAATGGTGGAGCAAATGTATTTTTAGGATTTTTTTTGCTTCCCATTATTCTGCTCTGATTTTGATTGGTAATAAATTCAGTTAGTTTCTTCAAGCTGAGTCTTTTTTGCCTGTGACATTAATGTGTGAGTGACCTCTCCTTACCCATATAAAAATCCATGAGCCTTTCATTATAATTTCTGTTCCCTGTCTAGTTGTGGAGGGGAGTGACCAAGCAGGTGGGCTCCTGGCCTCCAGCTGGGGTTAAACCACCACAACCAAGTTTAGATACATGATCATATTTTTATGGAAAATGCACCAAATTGATGCTTCTGTTTTATTTCAAACAGCCTGAATTATGAATGGTAACTGGCAATCTACATTAAAGTAAGACTGTTCTCTGCTATCTTGTCACCTGAATTCTTAAATATCCCAGAGGTTCTTTTGCAGATTTACTCAGGTGACTGTGTCATCCTTACATACAGCTCTGAGGGTCTCTTGGCCAGGTTCAAAATGAAGGGAATGAAGGCCAGGCTTGCTTACTGATCTCCTGCATTCAGAACTTGCTGTATATAATGCTTAAGTCATGTAATTTTAAAACTGTGATTAGACTTTGCAGTTGTCTCACCAATAGGCAAATGTCAGTCTGGGAAGTGGCCTGGCAGCCAAGGAGGGCTTCTGTGAGGTGGTTGTTCCCAGCAGAAGGACTGTGGCCTCAAGGTCTTCTGGAGAGGCACTTGGGCTTGACAGAGAGATTGTGCATTTGCTTAACCTCCTTCCTAGTGCTTTCTGACCTGTACTGCTGTATTGCAGAATGAAATGCCTAATTCAGTTCCAGATTAACTTGGTCTCCTTCACAATGAAGTTTTACAAAGGATCTATGTTGAGGAAACAAGATGAAGTGCCCTGACGGGTGATAATGACATCTGGGAGCTCTGTGTCATCTTGCTGAAGCATGTTAGGTGTCTTGTCACCAGCTAAAGATCAACATGCTGCATTCAGCTCATTTGTTTCAGAAGTGAAATAGAAATACATGAGCTCTGCCAAAGCCTTTTTGTGGCACCAGGATAGCTCCACAGTAAGACACCTCACAGACAAGTGGGGCTAATATGATTTACACCAGCTGTGAGTCTGGTTCCCTGCACTCACCTTATTTTTGTGCTCTGCATGCTGGTAAGAGGAGAAATCTGATCTTTTGCTTGGGTGTAAGTCAAACTTTGTCATTTTCCTCAGTGTTAGATGAAGGAAGCAGCAGTACTACCTACAAGATGGAACTGCAAAGTTCAATAATTTTGCCACTGGAACCATACTAACTGGAAAGGTGATAAAGTAATCTGTAAAGAAAGCTCTTTTCATGTCTGTCTTCTCTGCTGTCAGTTTGTCAGGCATGGACATTAGACAGTGTTAATCCAGGAATAAATTGCATTTGTATTTCCCTGGTTTGTGCCCTGGGATGAGATGACAGCATGGCACAGGTGGACCAGCTGTGACAATGACAATCTTTCTAGTTTGTTAGATTACTAAAAAGAAAAGGAAGGACATGTAAAGTGATCATCATAAAAGCAGTTGAGGAGGGGACAATGGATACTGGGAGGACTAGGGTGCTCAGTCAGGTCTCCAGGACCTGAGCGGAGCTCTGCCTTTGGAGGCAAATAAAGGAATTTCTGACTTCCAGAAAGAGATTTTCCCTGGTCAGGACCTGTATAGAGTTCTGGTTTCACTTCTCTGCATGGATTCATATTTTCTTCCAGATTGTCAGCTACATCCGGTGTCTTTGGGAGCAATTTTGGCAGCCAGTTTGCATAGCCTGTCTCAGTTCCTGAATTGCCAGCAGCTGTCCAGGTGCCTAGAGACCCAGGGAGAAGGGATTCTACAGACATCAGAGCAGGTCAGGTTCATGTGATCAGGGCAACCACATGCACTTCTGAAGAGACAGAGGCAATAGAAGGCACAGCTCTGGTTGTAATGGTTTGAGTAAGGCTGGGGGGAACAATGAGACATCCAGGCAATGGACAGTGAGTGTCTTTGTGCATAATTGCCTTATGCCTCCAAAGTGCTTCTTCTCTTCCCTAACTGCTGATGCTTTCACATACCCTTGGCCCCCAGTCCTTACATCTGCCCTTTCTGGCCTTTTGTTCTTGTTCTCTTTTTTAGCTCATCACTCTTTGTGTTCTTTCTCTTGATCTTGCCATGTAAAACACTGTCCATAGGTTATAAAGTCAGTGAAATTTCTTCTCAGATTTAACATGCCAGATCAACCGGTGGAGCCTGAGCAAGGCAGAGGCAGCTATAGTTAGCACCTCTTATGGAAGTGTGGAAAGGTGGTCTCGCTACACAGCAGCACAAGAGCAGACCCTGGCTGGACATGCTGGTCCTTGTGCTCAGCTTGGCTTGCAGGAGCTACAGTTTTGTTGGTGGCACACCTCCATGTAAGGGTTGGCAGGGTGACAGCATTAGCTTGGTGTCAGCTGCTGTGTAAGCCAGACTGTGCTGCAGAATGATCCCAGGTATCCCTGGGCACAGGCCGACCTTAGCAGCTTCAGCCTTCCACCTTTCAGAATCAAACTAATCTTGTCCTATATGCTCCAGACAGATTATTTCTGGTGCATTCAGACCCATATGACTTTTTAGGCTGAAGATATTGGTCTATTTTCTGTCATTATTTTCTAGTAAGTTTTTCCACAGTTACGGCGTTATGCTAAGGTGGTTAAAGGAAATATTGATTTAATTTTTGATACAGAAGCTTTGAAAATGTATTAACCATTAACATTCATGTACAATCAAAATATAATGTTTTTCCTATTAGTCAGATGTTTGGAGTTGTTAATTTGACTTTCCAGAAACAGCTGCCAGTAGCATAAATGGACCATTAACTAAATACATTAATCCAGTTTGTTTCAGTGTAATTAGAGACCTTTAAGGTACATTTTAGCCAGTTGAAAGTGTTAATACAGGCACACACATTTTCAGTCCTCATTGAAAACAGTCATGACAATGTCCCAATTAATAATAATCTATTCAGACCCAGATTACATAAAAAGGTGGGAGAGAGCTCTGAGGCGCTTCCAGGTGTTCTGCTTAGTCAGGTCTGGAAACCGTGGTTGGAATGAATATTGGTCTCCAGAATTACAGTGACACAAGGTACAGATAAAATTACTCAGAGGCCTTGGTGCAGAAGCTGATGAAACATGCCATATGCCTGAGTTCAGGGTCAAACTTCAAAAACGGATTGTCAGAATATACGATCTGGAGACCCCAGTTCTCATTTTCCCAGAGCTGTTCTCAGTGGAGAGGCCAGCACACACATTGCATCACCCCTCTGCTCTCAGAACCCTTGCACTCACAGTCAGTGCCTCACTGGAACCTGTGGAATGACATCTTACACCCCTTCAGATGTTTACCAACAGGGAATTTCCAGTCTTCGTGTGGAATGGTTTCCTTTCTTTTTCTGTTAGCTTTAGGCTTATAATGAGATGTTCATATTTTAAGTATGGTGCAATGACATCAATAATAATAATTATTGCATGCATCAAAGCTTTGGAGATTAGCCATGGATCATGCACCTAAATGGCAAATGGTTATAATAGCTCTGCACATGAAACATCAAAGTCTGAGGAAATGTTGCTCTGTTATAAAAAATACATCAGAATGATCATTCCACTCCAAGCAAAGTGCAGAACTGTAAACGTGCATGGAACAAATGCAACACATTTCATACTCATTTGAGTGTTTCAAGTGTGGGAAAAATTGATTCTACAGCTCCAATTACCAATCCACATCAAGTGAAGACTGTATTGAAAGTATGAGATTTTGCACAATATTAGGCTTAAGCTGGCTCCTCCTTTTGAAAATGTATTTGTAATTAGGGCCTAGAAGAGCAAGAAGCAATATTTGGGGTTTTAATTTTTTATATGCTCCCTGGCAGAGAGAGAATTGGCTGAGATTGCATAAAATTCTTAAACCCATGATGTTTCAAGTATCCCTTTGCTGAATCGAAATGGCTCTCTTGTAGATTAAAGGAGCTGCACTGTATATTTCTTTGTTAGGAGGAAAGTATTGCAGCCTCTGAACTCAGCAACTGAATTTCCCATTACAGACATGCTGTCGTTTCTCCTGCCTCATCACAGCTGTTTTGCTTGATCACTCCCTCAGCCCCAGTGGGATGAACAGTGTGAGGATGTGGTGGTGACACATGTGCTCCCGCAGCCAAATCAAAGGCCCAGCCAAGCCTGTGCCTCAGCCATGAGTCTGGAGGAAATCAGAGACCTTCATTAAAGTTTCAGAAAAACCTAACTGGTATGAGGACAGCATTCAAAAATGTATTTGGGGGAAAACAAATATTGTTTTAACTCTGTTAATAATTTATGTGTTGCCAGCAGAGATCCTCCTAGCATTAAGGGAATTGAAAATTAAAGGCACAAAGACACTATAAGAAAACATGTTGTTAAATAATTAATAATAGACCTGCTGGAATCTGAAAAGTATAGGTTTTAGCTTGTCTTGTCAAACCTATGCTTTCTAATACTGCAGTTTCTCCCAGAATGAGAGCATGGTCATTTTTGGTTTATATTGACAAAAGCTTGAGTTGTTTTTAGGCCCAGCTGGAATAATTAGCTGGCTTCTGTCAGCATATTCTGCCAAGCCCTTGGGATCCTAAGCAGAATACACCTCAAGATCATCACTTTCTTAAATCAAGATGAAAGAAAGATTGCTGATTATTTAGAAAACAGAAGAGACTATGCCTTTTTCAGGGAAGTTACTGTTTGTCAGAGTCAGACTGGATCAGAATGAAAAACACTGGTGGAAGAAGAAACTCTGGCAATTCCTGTTTAGCAATGTAATTTATAAATATCTGGGAATATGTACCTAGGGATATGTAATCCCCAGGAACAGCTGCTGCTTTAGTTTGTGTATCTCTAGAGAGATGCATTTTCAATGGTGAGACAAATCTTGGGGACCACTCTGAAAAATCCATGGCTGGCACTTCCCCATAGCATTCTACCTGATGGGGATCTTAAGGACAAGAAATAGTGCAGCTCAGCATTCCACACAATACAAGCTCATCATTATGACCAAAGAAAGGATGGACATAGAATGTGCTAAAGGAAGTAAATATGGAATTTCTTCATTTGTCTCCAAAGCAGCTCCTGCACTGCTATGAACAGAGCCTGCCAAGCACAGCATTCTGTGACATCACTGAAGGGTTCAGCTGGTGCACAGTTCTTAACAGGAAGAGACACTGGCATTTCAAAGCAGTATACTGAACACCAGTTAACTAACAGAGCTGCTGTCGTCTCTGAAGGTCTGTGTCTTGCTGAAGGGCCTGTGGGCTCTTGAAACTCCCAATTTATTTCACTCCACTCCTATCTTTTACGACTGGTATAATAAAGCAGCTAGTAAGACAGGCATAATTTCTGGCAGGCTTTTGAATTTAAGAAGCTGCACAAGAGCATCCACAGAAGTGTAGTTATCCTTTAATTCCTTTAAATAAAGCAAAAGTGAATGTTGCTTCTTCAGTAGAAGATCTTTAGTTCAGTACTTTAATGCAAAAGTTTTGTTGATATTGATGGAATTCCTAAACACCCTTTTTTTACTGCAGAAAAATTAATAATTAAGGAGAAGAGAGAATATCCATGAATGCTGTTATAAAAATAATTCCCTAGTTCCAAGGTAAACTCCTGTGTAAATTGAGAAAGTAAGGGTTACTGACTTGAAGTATAAAGGGGAAGTTTTTTCCATTCTGAATAAAGTAAATGCATTGGTGAGGTACTGGCAAGTGCAGATTATGCAGAGTGCAGCTGAATGTGTTCTGGCTTGGGTGTGCCCCCTCCGCTGTCCCAGGTGCATCCGTGGCACCTGTCCCACAGCCAGCAGGAGCTCGCCTTCCTGCTCACTGCCTTGGCTGCCGGCAGCACTCAGGCCTTTGTTGAAACTGGAGTGTAAAGCTCATGGACTTGCAGTCCTGGGAATGTTGGGCCTGACATGCCGGAGGAAGAGCTGTGGAAAATCACCTCTTGCCCCGAGTGATTCCCCCAAAGGAGAATTCATTGGTGTCAGTACGGTTCCTTCCTCTCACCATGGCTGGTGGCAATGGGCAGGGTGGGTGCAAGTGCTGTGCAGGAGCTGCTTCTGGGCAGCCCCAAGAACCCCTCATTGTGAATGCCATGAAGGCCAGAGCTGGTATCCCGCAGGGAATGGCCTCCTGCAAGGTTACCTCTTCCCTCAGTTGGTCTTCTTGTCCCACTGTTGCCGCTGCAGCCGCTCATTCTTCTTCAACATGTCCTTGCTTGTGGCTCTCTGTCTCTCTGCTCTGCCCTGCCTTCCTCCCACTGTCCCTGCCCTACCCACTGCCTGCTTCAGCTGCCACTATTGCTCTCCTGATGTGGGGACACCATCTCCCAGTCCTGCTGCTGACTGGTGGGATAAGCATGCCTGCGAGACAGCCCTATTGTTTAGTAAAGATGCTGACTCTGAGAGCTCCATGCCATCAGGCAAAGCTGAGAATCTGCCTGATTTAAGAAGGCAAGGAAACAAGCCAGAGTTATCTTGATCTGAAGCATATTCTAGAAGTGATTAGCTGCCTAAACTTACTCTGTAATTATCTGTGCTGAGTGGTTTATGCATATCATTGCCCATTTTTCTGAGTGTTTTTATCTAAGTTGATAATAGAAAAATGAATAAAGCTTTAGTTCCACTCTGCTTCTGACATGTGTGCCAGAAAATATCTGAAGATTAATATTTTTGTGTTCACAATAGTTGGATTAATATTTAATTTGTTGGCATCCAGCAAGCTGATTAGTTTTCCTCTAATATGTAATTACTAATTACAGAAACCAGCTCCTCCTGGGGAGGAGGGTGCCTGGGGTAAGAGGCTCAGAGACCATCCTGACATCACTGCAACTATGATTTCACCAGGATAATGTACTGCAACATCATTGTCATATGAAATCTCTACTCTTGGAAAGAGGTACATGTAAAAGACACATGCTCTGTATCTTTTGAGGACAGGGAAGGTCTGTCCTTGATTGCATTTAAATTGAAGTATGTCCAAGGTGCAGCTGTGTCAAGTCTTGGGCAATAAGAGACCTTTGCCTGCTGCTGCAGGCCAAGCCTTCTTTGATGACATAGCCTACCTGATACTGCAGGTGTAGGGGACATGCCACAGCACTGCAGGTGGATGGGCAGAAGTAACTGAGACACAGGGACTCCCTTGCTGAGGATCCTCTTGAGCTTGGGGTGTGCTGCTGTTGGGTACTGGCAGTGACAAGCCGTGGAAGGACCCTCAGCACCACCATGGAAGCAATCTGAGAGTAAGCTCCTTGAGGCATAGGAGACTGGCTGACTTGGAGCCTCTTTTTGGCCACAGCCATTAGCAGACGCTTCTGAAAAGCCTGTAGCAGACAAGGTGAGGAGTAGTTGAGATCATGATCAGAGTCCTTCTGGAGCAGTGTCTGTGTTCGATCACTGCTCTGAACTAGCAGATGAGGTTGCACTCCAGGCGTGTCTCAGAAGTCTGTTGAAATCCTGAGTGCATCTGGGCTCCACAGGATTCCTGGTAAAAAGCCACATGTGATCCTGGGATTACACTGGCCTTCCTCTGTCAGCCTGATATCAAATAATTTCCCTGGCACCTTATGATGTTTATACTATGAAAATGAGCTAGTGAGTATTTGGCGTGTGTTGGTGATCCCTCTAGCTGGGGACAGTCCTGCCTTCCTGATTGCAGCTGTAGGCAAGTTGTCCACTTCCATTTGTCTGGATCCTCTGGGGGTGGGCAGGAAAGTCAGCCTGCTCTTGGGGACACAGAGGCAACAGGCAAATTCACATCCTTTGTTTCTAGGATCACCCAGTGCTTTCTTCATAAATGGGACTATCACCTGCAATTCAGTCCTTCATGTGATTGAGCCTTCCCTAATTCCTCAGAGAGCAACTATGGCTCAGAATCAAATGCAGCCTTTAGAATTAACCCATCTGTAATGGCAAGTAAGTCTGGATTCTCCTGACCAGCCATGCATAGTAACATCTCAGTGCTGTATTAATCTTGCTCTGTCAGTTTTACACAGCTTCTAAGCACTCAGGAATAGCAGCACTGTCAGGGTGTTGTGATTCATTTTTTTCACCCACTTGAAGTATGTATTGTTGTCATAATCTGGCACTTTGCACTGGGAACAAACTCCCCATGTGGACAGGGATTAGGGTCATTTTTCAAATGCTGCTGACTGTTAATTTGTACACTGTATGAAGGGAAAAGGTCTTGTTAGAACTCCATTGTAAACATTACTTCACCGGAGCATAGTGGGCATTTGTCTCCGATAGCCAGGGGTTGGTGACAGGCACACCAAGCATAACCTCTATGGCAGTATGTGCTCAGTGCTGCACGCACAGTTCTCATTAGTGCACCCGAAGCTGATCTGGTGAACGTCATCCAAATCCACTTGTTCAGCATCTGACTGTCTAATACCTGCTGGCTGCTCCCTCCATTCCACATTACAGTCCTCCAGAATTGTGCCAAAACCTGATCAGTGGGAAGTTCAGGTGTTTTCTTTAGCTGCAGTACACTTTTGGCTGGGTAAGAAAAGAGGTGGCAGATACTGAAGGGTTCAGAGCTCAGCCAGCAGCTCTCACAAGCTGACTGTCCTATTTGTTTCCAGACCATAGCAGCAAGTGGAATGGCTACTACTGCTGGGCCATCCTGAGCTGTGATGGGTCTTTGGTCTTCCTGCACAAATGGCAGAAAAGTAAAAAAGGAAAATTAGTCTCTCAGGGGAAAACAAATCAAACCAGCAACCTCTGCTACATCTCATGGCCTGCTTAAACACAGGTCTGGACTAGATAATTTGCTGCAACCATTTAGTGACCCATGCTTGTCCCATATTCATCTTATGAACTGGAAAAAGCTATTTGTCTGCCCACGTGTACTGATATTTGTCAAATCCACTGCTTTGAAAGCCCTAGATTTGAACTACTGGATATGCAGAGAGAGAAGCAAATAAAAGCTGGCTGTGATATGTGTGTTTCATCTGGGTAATATCCTGGTAAGGCCAGATTTATTACCTTTATGTCTTAAGGCTAGGCAAACCTCATGGGGTCAGCCATAAAGAAGAATGAGGCAGGAGAAGAGTTTGAAAAAGGAAATCCAGAAATCTTTGCCAGCAGAAGTGTCTTAGTTCTTTGCTTTCAGTTTCTACTTCAGGTCATGCTGTCAGGTCCACCATGGGTCTTGCTGTCCCTCTGTTTTGGTGCCAGGCTGCTGCCCACTGCCCTTGGCCCTGCTGCCTTGACTCTGGGGTGCTAGTGTGGTGCTTGTGGTGCCTATGGCTGCCATGGGTGACCACAGCACTCACCCTTATTCTCTGTTTTCCTTTTAGAATATAAGCTTCCTTATATCTGAAATTCGGTTACAGTTAAAAGCACAGGCTGATACCAAATTATCAATGACGGGAGCTATGCAAGTATCACCAATGAACCAGGGTTAATAGTAAAAGAAGACAAACACATGGTACACAGAGGGTGTTTAAAACCACAATACCTAGGACTATTTCTAAATCTAAAAAAAAAAAAAAAAAAAGTCACAATGAAATTGAAAAATTATTCATTTCCTTGTGTTAATTCTGACCAACTGGCCATGCCTAAAGAACTGTGATGTTATCTGCTATCTTCAGGGAGTCTGGTAGGGTAAGCAGAGCAGTAGAGCTCTGGTATCCCCTTGGTGTGGCAGGGTCTTTGGGATGGTAGACTGGGAGGGGGCCCTGCACCTCTGTATCTGTCTGCGTGCTGGCCTTGGTGTCCCGTGCTGGCCTCAGTGCTGCTGCATGGGGCAGACACAGCTGCGACCAGCGCAATGTGCAGGTCAGCAGCTGCTGCCATCCTGCCATGCTAGTCCTTCGTGTTTGAAGTAGGGGAAGAAACTGGAGCACATGAGGATCAAAAGCTTTGTGGCATCCAGTGCTTTTTGAGGGGAGCTTGGAGTGAAATCACAGAAATCTTCCAGAAGACGGTTTAATTTTTAATGATCTAGGACTATAATTTGTCTGTTTAATTCAACCTGAGTGACATAATAGCTTCCATTTGGACTTATTACCAGCAAAGCAGTCAGTCAGTTGGAAGCAGACCCAGGGCAGGGCATTTTGTCATTATTTTAAATTTTCTCTATCCAACAAATTTGAAGGTCTTGGAGAGACTGAAGCCATTGTAAAGGATACAGCATAAGAGAATAGGTCACACAGTGTGTTAAAGAATGAAAATTGATTCATTCTTTCCTCTGTTGAATAAGCAGCTATACTTTGCTCCCTGTGATCCATGAAATAAGTTGTCAGAGAAATAGAAAATGTGCCACATTTGAACTTCACTCATTGATTCTGCTCTGAATCAAGGTATAATATTGAAATGCAGTATGGTTGGTGAAGAATCTGCATCAGTGACATCAGCTAGGCCCAGCTTGCTTATCAGTTGTCTGGGCTATTTGTAATTAAATTATTCAGTGCTTTACAATGCTGGGACTCATTTACTTAGATCATGTGGTCAGAGCCAGCTAACAGGAGAAATTCCACAAAATCAACATTTGTTAGTTTTAAATAAAACCAAAGCCTGAAGAAAAGGCTCACAGTTCTATAATTTTATTTCCTTTAATCTGGACAAATAATTTGTAGGCAATTCAGAAAATCTTACAGTAGTCAGTGTAAGAATGGGTAGCAGAAAATTCTAGAATTTGGGATTATTAGCTGAAGCATGTCAGGCCAACTAATGCCTGCAATTTTGATAGACCTACTAGCTGTGAAATTATATGGAGGACATTCCCATTATTCCCTAAAAACTACACCTGGATTCATTTCTTGTAACAGAACACCTTCCTTTACATACCTATTCCCAAGTAAAAAAATTAACCTTGTTATGCTGTCCTCAGGTAGCATCCAGAGGACTGCCTGCAACTATGATTTACTATGTTAAGTCTGTTTTATCCATGCTGAAATTTCTTTTGCTTCTTTGGCAAGTTCTTAAAAGTATTATTAACTAAAACATTATTTTTACTGTCTTTGCTTTATTTGCCTTAAAATTGTGATTAATAAAGATGGATTTTTATAATTAAGGTAGAAATGAGAAATATCCCCCTATATATAATTTAAAAATGTTGGAATTACAGGCATTATCTAACTTCTGTTTTAAATCACAGGAACAAACTGTTTCCCATTAGCAGCCCTAATTAAATCCATTTTTCTGTGAGTCTTTGGCAAATTCCATTTTAGTTAAGCTGTATTAAACTCTCTTTTATTTCCTCTTGCTTTTCAGAATTCTCTGTTTGAGATGAATATGGTTTGAATATGGTATGTGATGGCTCTGTAGATTCCAAAGAAATGACATGAACAAATGCATTGCTCTGGAAAGCTGGTATAAGAGCACTGCTGAAGATTTAGAAACATTTCAGCTACCAGACAGGCAGGAGCAGGACCATCCAGGCCTGCAGGGTTTATGTGTGATGCAAGAATGGGCAAACATTTGTGTAGCTAAGAGGTTGTGAGAAAAAGGGTGAAGGAGGCTTGCAAAAGGGGAGGAGAGGGGACATGCTAAAGCAAGCAGCATGCTCTTCACCCCAACACAGCACATTGGGGTGTTGCCCTCCTGAGCTCTGGGATACCACCAGCTGTGTCATTCTGGTGTTGTCCTACGCTTTGGGTGAGGAATAAGCAGTTGCAAAGGAGTGGAGAGAATTTCCAGAGGTTATCCAGCTCTGCTTTTCCTCAGTACTTGCCATCACATAGAGATGTGTTTTCTGCCATGTTTTGCATGTGGCCTGTAGCGTCTGTCTGGGTTGTTGTGTTGAACCTGTCTAGACTTGTTTTTGCACACAGGTCAGACTCTGGCCTGGTCCTGTGCACAGACAATTTTGTTTGGGTGATGCTCCCTGGTGACTTAACTGAGCAAGCAGTGAGCACACACCAGAGAACCCACTTGAAACAGCCACTCATTTTG